CCGGTGACGGTGCAGTGCTTCACTGTCACTCCTTCTACTGGTTGTTCGTCTTTGTATTTTCCTAAGCTTCCAATGCTAATGCCATGGCCTGGCCCGCACTTCACATTTTCAATGTTAACTTGCTTACTTCCATCCCCGAGAGACACGCAATCATCCCCAGTCTTTATGGTTGCACCGAGAATGGAAACTCCCGTGGAACGACCAATATGGATGCCATCGGTGTTTTCACTGTCTCCTGGGGCTGTGATGGTTATGTCGCTCAAGGTCACGTTCTTTCCCTGGATCACATTCATGTGGAAGAACTTGCTATCTATAGATGTTACTCCCTTCACTACTGCATTTGTTAATCCTCCCAAATTCAAGTTCTGCATAATATGTAAACAGGTATTTAAAAATTATAAACATATTGATCGAGTAAATTTAATGATATTCATAATAAAGGTAATACAACTTACAATGGGGAGGAATTTACAATTTCCACTGAAACTTTTTTTGCAATTGTTAGTCTTCCAACCGATTTCACCCTTGCCTTCGAGAGTGATTCCAGTGACAGTGAGACCTTCAATGCCATAGAAAAGAATCCATCCATCTTGTCCTTTAAAAAGTGAGAGATCAGTTGGTGCGATAAAAGTTGCACCATCTCCTTCAAAAGTTACAGGATTGCTGCATGGACCCAATAGTTTCATTGGACCCACCATGTACTTTCCGGCAGGAATTATGAGCTTGCTCGGGGTTGTTGCTTTGCATGCTTCTCCCCATGCTTTAAGAATTGCCTATCCAAAAGAATCTTTTTAATGCCACCATCCTAAGCTATTATATATATATATATATATATATATATATATATATATATATATATATATATATACATACTTTAAATTTATATATATATAGGAAGTGCAACATTTGGTTTCTTTATAGTGTACCTGACTATCATCGGATGTACCGTCACCTTTGACTCCATATGTTTTCACATTAAATTCAGCACAATCCACTCTTGCGACAACAAAAGCAATGCATATAAAAATCCATGCAGCTTGAATCTCCCTAGAAACCATTTTTTATATTATTTTTCCTTTATTTTGTTTTATTTATTTTCTTTTGAAATACTCCGTAGTTTATTTCACTGTCTTGTTAAAGACATTGATGGATTGTAACAAAATGAGAATGAGTATTTATAAGGGGAGAAGAAAGTTTGCAACCACAAAATGATATGCTCAATTGAAGGCAATTATTCCTCTGTATCTTCCAAGTGTTTGAGGTATGCTCTTTATTTTTTCAAAATTGTATTTTCTCTTGATGAATTGATGCTCGTTCTAGTTTGCTAAATCAATCCTTTTCGAGTACATAAAAAACAAATTGGTCATGGATTTTGTCACAACATGCAGTTTAAATATTTTGTGACAAACTAGAATGTGTAAAATAATATAGCATGTATTTGTACTCCTCAATTCATGGTGGAGAGAATCTGTAAGATGGTGAGAAAGTATTGATTAATAAAGTTTTTCTCTTCTATCCGTGGATGTTACTAACAGGCTGTTAGTAAACCACGTTAAATCTCTGTCTTTTCCGTAATTATCCATTGTTTTTTATCATACTTTCTCCCTTCTGTTATAACAACTTATTTAACATATGCGAAGGTTCACCATAGACCTTAGGTCCATGCAATAATTTGCCACTTTTTGAAAATATTGTATGCGACTCTTAGCTCCACACTACTGTATTCTAAGAGTCAAATATTAACAAAATGCAGATCAAATTGATAAAATAAAATTGTAATAATAATAAATGTATATTTAAATATATTCTCATAAAGAGGGATATTTAAAATTACTTATTCTAAAGATCAATATTAATCAAAACTGAATTATGGAATTGTGAGCTATAATTTTGACACTACCATGCATTTTGGAATAATTTACTATCTATAAATACATATAAGAGATTTCAAATAACAGTCTATGTGACTATTTACAATATCTCTGCAGTACAAATTTTAACAAAGAGAAAATTAAAGTGATAACATTTTAATAATGAAAAATTTACTCTCTCCATTTCGAAAAAATAGTTCTATCTTGCACATCTCATCATAAAATAATTCTATCCCTACTAAAATACTCACGACTACACCTCATTTCTCCTTATTGCGGGTATAAACTGTTTTGAGGGGTATTTTAATCATTTTATGTGGGATAAAAATGTTTTATGGGATACATAAAATATTAGGGTGGAACTGTTTTTCAAAGGAAGAGAATACATTGTTAAAGTATTCTCATAGATATGGAATATGATTAAAAATTGTCTCAAATTTCAGCATTATTTTACCGAAACAAAATTTTAGGAGTGATAGGGAATTCATTACTTTCCTTGAATTCTTGATACCTAGGCTCTGTCCTAACTTTCAACATTTTCTTACTTCTGATTTTTTTTCAATTTTATCTATTTTTTCAACTTTTTCCAGTTTCTTCCAACTTCTTCCAATTTTATCTCAATCCTTCTAGTTTCTTCCAACTTTTTCCAGTTTTTCCAACTACTTTCAGTTTTTTCCAAGTTCTTCTGATGGTCTTAATTGTTTTGATCAGTTTTATTATTTTTATCGTGTAAAATGAAAAAGCGAGCCTAACAATCACCAAAAATACGAACAAACTATTTTTGACGTGGAAACCCAATGATAGAATTTGGGATGAGTATTGGACAACTAGATTTGGTAATAAGACACTTGGGCTGAACCACCTTAAAAGATTGAATCCAATCGATTAGTTAGTTCAACTCAAGAGCTTATATACCGATTATTTTGCTCTTGAACTTCCGATGTGGGATGTCACTCTAACACTCCCCCTCAAGTGGACAACCGGGCCATTTTGAATCTAACTGGTTGACCACTTGCAAATGAACTCTCATTCCCTTGACTTTTTTTAGCGCCAACACCTAAAGGACCACGAGCCGCTGGGTATGGACTTCTAGATGAGCAATCGTGTTAAACGAGCCACAGGCCATACGGAGCACTGGGCTAAAGACAAACGGGCCGCTAGGAATGAACGTCTAGACGGACACCTTGATAAACGAGGTGGGCCAAAACCTGCTCCGATACCATGATAGAATTTGGGATGAATATTGGACAACTAGATTAGGTAATAAGACACTTGGGCTGAACCACATTAAAAGATTGAATCTAATCGATTAATTAGTTCAACTCAAAAGCTTATATACCGATTATTTTGCTTTTGAACTTTTGATGTGGGATGTCACTTTAACACCCAAATTGGGAGAAAACTACAACCTTTTTTCAGGGGTACCATGCCAACGGAGAGATTTTATTATTATTGGATATTGTACTTAGTACATAATTTTGGCATTGTAGCCATTGATGAAGTGTTTAAGCTCTAGGAAGAAGAAATAATATAATGAGTATTTTTTAAGGGATAGAGAGTGTATACTAATAGGAGCGTGATTTTGGCATCCTTCATATATATAAGGTGAAGGGTCCTTGTTATAGTTAGAGATGGAGAAAGTAGTTATGGAAAGGATATTAGAGTGGAGGTATTTTAGGAGAGGAGTAAGTGGTGGAGGTGGTTATGGTAGGAAGTTGACTAGGGTGAAGATGGAATAATTTGTGAGGAGTAATTGATGATGGTAATTATGATAATATTAATTGAGAAATACGGATTAGGATTACCGGGCCAGATAATATTTCCCATCATCTTCCAACAATGACTTAAAAGAATTATTTAGATTTATTTTCATATATTATTATTATCTTAATAAAATAAAAAATTTATTTAATGTCACAATTTATTAAAAAATTGTGTCTTGGATACAAATTTTAGTTACCATTATCGAGTCACGTACATTATTAAAATCTTAAAATAATTAATTTATAATTTCCCTTGTGATTTTGAATTTTCGTTAACTATACTTTTTTGAAATGTGTTCTTGTCAATGTTTTAGAATTTTGACCAAAATAATTGTGTACTTTATTTTTTTAAGTATGCATTACATGACTTTTAAATGTGCATACACTAATACAGTAATTTTTATAATGTACATGTTGTAACAATATGAAAAAAAATAAATGTTCATATATCAATTTAATACATGAAGAAAATTTTTGTAAAACTCATATTGTTTATTTTTTAAATGTGCATATGCCAGATGTATATTTAAAACTAACTTTGTTGTATAAAAATTCTCTATTTGATTTTTATAAAATAAAAAAATAGAAAAGTAACAAAAAATTTTGAGACGTATGAAAAAATACTGAATGTTTTTACGGGAATGAATTGAAACTTTTTATTATGCTTCTTCCAACTCCTTCCAATTTCTTCAAATTAACTCCTTCTAGTTTCTTCCAACAATTTCTAGTTTCTTCCAACCCCTTCCAATTTCTTTGAATACACAACCCTATTTTTCCAAATGAAAAGAAGAGAGCCTTAACTTAAGTTCAACATCCATTTATCCAAACCTATTTGACACAATTTGATAATAATGGTCTAATTGAATAGTGAAGGTTTTATCCTTATATGTAGGAAATGCAATGAAAAGAAATGGGGGTAGTTGTGGTATTTTACTTGTTAAAAAATGAAATGAGAAGATCTATTGTGGACAAAGAAAAATGGCTATTGGGAAGATCTATGGTGGACAGAGGGAGTAGTGAAGAAGAATTATTGCAGAACAAAAAACATCAATTCAGATATTGACACAGGTTCAAATTAAATAATGCTACTACCTCTGTCCCATAAACTTTTCTCATTTTAAAAGTAACAGAAAAATTATATTCTTTAAATCTTATCTGGATGTGATTTAAAGAATGTAATCTTGGTGTTATTTTTTAATTTTATCATTAGTGTATTGTAGGGTAAAATATGATGTAATGAGTAAATAGATAATATACTGTAATGCGTAAATTAATAGTGAATAGATATGATATCATATGATGGATAAATTAATATTGAATAAATATGACGTGATAGGAACAGAGGTCAGGAGTAAATAACATTGAATAAAAAGAGAGAATTTTATTGACATTGAAATTGTTCATACTAGAATTTTATATGTTTCCATACATCCATGCTCCCACAATTGAAAGAGTATATGTTTATATGAGTGATCCAGCCTCACATAATTCTCTAAGAGCCTAAGACCATACTAAACATTCTAGCTAAATTGTTTTTTATATGGATAAGACTATGTACTAATTATATATATTCAACTCGAAAGATTATAGTGTTTGAAAGGCTTATTAAGCAGCAGCAGCTCCGGCAGGAGCAGCTGCAGCACCACCACCAGCACCATCACAAACAGCAGGAGATTGTTTGCCAGAGAGCGTAGGTTTGACGTTGCTGCATTCGGAGATGGCAGTGCCATTGGTTCCGTGATATTCTAAATTGATGTCGCCCACCTCTACTTTCTCACATGGGAATCCTTTGCTACATGCGAGTTTGACAACCACTTTTGTAGCAGAAGTCCCCTTTATCTTCTTGAAGCTAACGTCACTGATCTTCACTTTGGATGGAACCCCGGCCGTGCATTGATTCCATGGGCAGTACTCTTGATCGATCAATATAGGGTTGCTCACGTTCTCCATCGTGACATCTTCAAAATGCATGCCGGAGGCGGAACCCTCTGGAGATGCCGGCCATGTCTTTATTCTCACACCGTTCGTTGTGCCAGTGAGAGTGCAATGCTTCACAGTCACTCCTTCAACCGGTTGTTCATCTTTATATTTTCCTAAGCTTCCAATGCTAATCCCATGGCCTGGCCCGCACTTCACATTTTCAATGTTAACCTGCTTACTTCCATCCCCGAGAGACACGCAATCATCCCCAGTCTTTATGTCTGCACCAAGAATGGACACTCCAGTTGAACGACCAATATGGATGCCATCCGTGTTTTCACTGTCTCCTGGTGCTATGATGGTTATGTCGCTTAGGGTCACGTTCTTTCCCTGAATCACATTCATGTGGAAAAACTTGCTATCTTTAGATGTTACTCCTTTCACTAATGCATTTGTCAATCCTCCCAAATTCAAGTTCTGCAAAACATATAAATATACATGTATTTTAAACTATAAGTAGATTGCTCGAGTAAATATAACAATACAAAAAATGAATGTAATACGACATACAATTGGGAGGAACTTGCAATTTCCACTGAAACTTTTTTTGCAATTGTTAGTCTTCCAACCGACTTCACCCTTGCCTTCGAGAGTGCCTCCAGAGATAGTTAGGCCTTCAATGCCATAGAAAAGGATCCATCCATCTTGTCCTTTAAAAAGTGAGAGATCAGTTGGGGCGATAAAAGTTGCACCGTCAGCTTGAAAAGTTACAGGGTTGCTACATGGACCCAATATTTTCATTGGGCCCACCATGTATTCTCCCGCAGGAACTATGAGCTTGCTTGCATCTAATGCTTTGCATGCATCTGCCCATGCTTTAAGAATGGCCTAATCCAAAAAAAAAACATTTTTTGATGTAAGCTATCTTATGCTATGTATCTTTTTCACTTTCTAGTTTTTTTATAGAGTACCACAATGATGTGTATTATACCTGGCTATCATCAGATTTACCATCAGCTTTGGCTCCGTAAGTTTTAACGCTAAATTCAGCGCTATCCACCCTTGCCACAATAAAGGCAATGCATACAAAAATCCATGCAGGTTGAACCTTCCTCTCACCCATTTCTACTTTTAATTTTTATTTATTTATTTATTTATTTATTTTTTTAAAAATAATTTTATTTGATTTTTTTACTTTTTAATTAAGGATATTGATGGATTATTGTTTCAAAATGAAAATGAGTATTTATAAGGGGAGAAGAAAAGTCTACAACCACAAAATGACATGCTTAATTGAAGGCAATTATTTCTCCCGAGTCTTCCAAGTGTTAGAGGTTTGCTCATTTTAAATTTTTAGCGAATTATATTGTTACTCCGTACTTTTCTATTGACCGATGCTTAATTGACCGAAGTTCACATTTAGTTTTAATATAAAGTTGTAATTTTTGAGTTAGTAATTATATTTTTGAAACACTAATCATTTTCGTACAAATTTCTCTATTTTCCTTCATGTTTAAAAATAGTTTTCAAGTATAATGCAAACATAGTCTTAGGGTCCGTTTGATATACGAAGTTGATGGAATTGGAATTGAATTGGAATTGAAATTCAATGAGATTCAATTCTATAGAATTGAATTCACCAATTTCAATTCATTTTCGGCACTGTCAATTTCAAATTAATATAATTTTTTGTGCTACCAAACACCAGAATTGGAATTGAAGTCCTCAATTCCAATTCCATAGTTTGAATTCCGTGTATCAAACGGGGCCTTACAAAAATTGTTAGAGTACATCCCACATCGGAAAATCCAAGAGAAAATAATCGGTATATAAGCTCTAGAGTTGAACTAACTAATCGATTGGGTTCAATCTTTTAATTCGGTTTAACCCAAGTGTCTTATTGCCCAATCTAGTAATCCTTACCCATCCTAAATTCTATTATGGTATGTTTGGGAACATAGATTTGGATTTCAAATCTGGATTTGGCTCAAATTCCATGTTTGGGAAACTTAAAAATTTCAAATTTGGATTTGAATCAAATTCTTTTCATTCATAACAAAGCTTAATTTGAAATCCATGCATCTCCCCTTGTCATTTGAAATTTCAAGATTCCAAATTTTGGAATTGAAATACATGAAATGAAATGCTAGTTGCCAAACACTACCTTAAGGTATCGGAGCAGGTTTTGGCCCACCTCGTTTGTCCATACCCAGCGGCTCGTGGTCTTTAGGTGTTGGCGCTAAAAAAAAAGTCAAGGGAATGGGAGTTCATTTGCAAGTGGTCAACCGGTTAGATTCAAAATGGCCCGGTTGTCCACTTGAGGGGGAGTGTTAGAGTACATCCCACATCGGAAAATCCAAGAGAAAATAATCGGTATATAAGCTCTAGAGTTGAACTAACTAATCGATTGGATTCAATTTTTTAATTAATTCAACTCTAGAGCTTATATACCGATTATTTTCTCTTGGATTTTCCGATGTGGGATGTACTCTAACAATAATTGATGAATGATGATTTCCATTTCGTGTATGTAATGGGATTATGGGAAAATAGATTACCTTCAACTATAATTAAAACTCTCTCTTCTAATCCTTATATATAGGGATGTATATATCCTCATTATTATTCAATAAGACCAACTATTATCAAACTGTATCATGGTATCGGAGCTAAGATTCTCAAAAACTTAGACTCTTTTTATCCGATCGAGCACATCGTCGGTCTCTATTCACGGCACCATCTGATAGTATGGTGTCACCGATCGATCTCGATGAGCGTGCCTAAGCGCCGTTGTCCATTATCCCTCATAAATATACTTCGGGTGTCCTTAAATTTTGTGGTAATGTACTCTGAGGATACATTCCGTCTGTTTAGCCGTTAGAATTAAAAGTTCTATTACTTTGATAAATACTAAATTTTACATAGAAAATCATTAGGACTATTTTATTAAATTTAAATAGAATCCTACAATTTTTTAAAGTAAATGAACTTTCAATTCTAACGCCTAAATAGACAGAATTTACACTTGGAGTATAATATCACAAAATTTAAGGATCCGGTGTATCTTGTGGGCAATGCAAGACATGAAACTTCTTGCTTAAAAATCAAGGGTACCACGAAGTATATTTCATATAAAGTTGGACATGAAAGTTATTATCAGAAAATTGAGGGTACCCCAGAGTAATTTTTTGTAATAATAGTACGACAAGGATCCTTTGAGTCCTTTGACCCTTGAACCCAATGTCATATTATGACCGGGTGCCTACGGTGTTGCGTTGGAAAAATTGATGGTTTCTACAAGGAAGTCTAATGGTATGGGATTAAGTATATATGATGAATAGATTTGCTTTTGAAGCATTGGATCATACACTGAGACATATCACGGGATTCTCTAATAGTAACTCTAAAAATGAACTATACGTACAGGGAGATAGTTGTACTCACCAGTCAATCTCTCTAAATTGTGATCGTATTGTAAAGTTTATACGTTGACCAAGAATAAGAGACTGCATTCATCTAGGTCTTCTTGCACAGATAGGAACACACAAGCTTTTTCTGATTTGAATACCAAAACCAGAGATGTAAAGTTAGGTCAGGTGATTGATAGAGTTAGTGATGTTGAGATTTTGAGAATTCCTAACTCTTGACTTAAGTTCTCCTATCAAGAGTATAGTAAATGGATTCACTTATCCGAACATATTAGAGAATATGAACAATAATTATTCTTTTTATTGAAGATATGACACTATTAGAGCACCAACTCTCGAAGTAGTTCAAATGATAAATAAATTTGTCATTTCCCTCATTCCTAGTGATGAAAAGGAGTACTTGAGTTCTGATTCTTCATGCCAAGTAGATGTAGGTGCTGATAGTGATTGATAGCCGTTTAGATTTTTTACTGAAATCAAATATTCAGGTATCCCAAACCACAAAATAGTTTAAAAAAAGGTCGGGTACTGATTATGCTATTGAGTAACATTGACCAAGCCTCTTGATTGTGTAGTGAGACAAGATTAATCATTGTGTACCATCTGATCCAAAACTATCCTTGAAGTTTTAGAGAAGACAATTTCCAATAATTTTATATTTTACTATGACTATTAACCAAAGTCAAGGTCAAGCATTGTCATTTTATTAGATTATTTTTAACCAAGTCGGTGTTCACTCACGATAAACTATATATTGTTGTTTAATGAGTGAAAGCAAAGATAGGGTTAAAAATATTAGTTCTCGATGATATTGGAATCCCTTGAAACCATACTAAAAATGTTATACTCTGAAGTCTTTCCAAAAATATACATCTAAAAAAGACTTTGAGTGTTCACTTTTAAATTTATGTATAAGAATCATCATTACCAAATATTAAACGGTAAATTATTTATTTTACTTTTATTTTAATGTCTATAGTGTTAAAGAATACATTACATACATTTTCATAAATTCATTTAAAAATATTACATTGAAGATAATTTGTAACAAAAAATTGACATAACCTCGTGCGTCCCACAGGTTAAATATTAGTGTCATATTATGAACGGGTACCTACGGTGCTGCGTTGGTAAAATTGATGGTTCTTATTCCCCTAACACCCTCCCTAAACCCATGTCCCTTCCCTTGCACCCCACCCTAGCACACTAGGGGTGAGGGTTTAAGTGTTAGAAATCATCAATTTTACCAATGAAACGCCGTAAGTATATCCTAAGATATAATATGACATTGATTTTCAAGGTCAAAAGAACCGTTGTGAGAAAAATAATAATAGTAATAATAATAGTTATGTTTATAATTATAAAAGTGATAATGACGATGATGATGCTGATAATAATAATAATAATAATAATAATAATAATAATAATAATAATAATAATAGTAATAATAATAGTAATAATAATCATCATCACAAGGCCACCACCATGCTCGCTCAACCATTATTGATAATACTTGAAAGGTAGCCCTGTGTAATTTTTAAAGAGGCTTTTAATTATTACCTCATTTAAAATTATGCAAGAAGAATTTTTCAAGTATTTATTAAATACGGAGTACATAATATATATAAATAACATTAATTTTAATAAAACTTATAAAATCACAATATCATTAAAATTATTTTAAAAACCTAAATTGAGGAACATCTATAACATGCATGGACTTGAGGTAAGTATAGTGAGGCCTCAATTCATTCTCTAATTGAATGATAATTAGAATGAGTTATTTTACTTCATTATTTATCATGCTTCAAAGTGTTGGGATTCCTCCAAGTCCCACACCGGAAGTTTAGGAGTAAATGAACCAAAATATATACGTTCATCCAACCCCATTAGTATGAGGCCTTTTGGGGGGTGCCCAAAAACAAATCCATGAGGGCTAACCTAGAGCGTATAATATCATACTAATGCGGGGTTGGGGTGAGGACACACGTAGTCCCAACATGTGGTATCAGAGCCCAGGTTCTTGCGGGCGTGAAGGTTGGGCAGAGGTGCCCAAAAACAAATCCGTGAGGGCTTGTCCCAGAGCGGACAATATCATACTAATGCAGGGTTGCGCACAGGGCACGCACAGTCCCAACAGAAAGTTACACATTTTTTAGTAGAAAAGAATTTGTATGTATATCACAATTTTAAGCTCTTTAGAAAAAATTACTACTATGATCATGTATATTATATACTTTTCAACACATTCTAAGATATTTTTTGAATTATATTTTCTATAACCAAAATGTAAAGTTTGTTGTAGAGTAAGAAAAGAATAATATATAAATTAAAATGGATTCCCTTGAAATTTATGTTGGGTTTTGTGAGGCTAGATACGTTTGGGCCCGACATGGATTGGCCCGTCTTATTTTTAGCCCGTTTGTCTCTTGTTTCTTGGGGAACAAGTTTTGTAACCCTAGTCTTTTCTCTTATATATTAGCCCTTGTACTTGTAATTCCAGTGAGACACGACAAGTGAAATAGAAATCCTCTTGTTGCAGCCATGGATTAGTGAAACCGAACCACGTTAAATTCTTGTGTGTCGTCCGTGTTCCGTTTCTCTCGTTTCTCACAGATTATTTGTGTGTTGTGTGTTTAATTCCCAACAAGTGGTATAAAAGCAAAGGTTGTTCAACACGAACCCAAGTTGCGAGTCGTCAAGGGTTTTGCAGATCTGAAGGCGCGGAAGAATCGTGTGCTAAAGGAAAAATAGGCCGCTGCTCCGCTGAAGAGATCTATAACAGCAGCCGCTGTTGGGAAAAGATGTGGTTGTCCAGTTTGAGTGCCGCCGCCGTCTAGATCTGTTTTCGCCGCTACTCCTAGTGAAGTCCGCCGCCACGTTGAGGAGTTTGTCGTCGTCTTCTGATTGACTCCGCTGGTTCGAGGAGATCGCAGCCGCTAATCCGTCCGTACGCCATCCAGATCGTGCAAAGAACCATCGCCATGCCCGGAGTAGAGGTGGAAGATCCGACTCGCGAGCAGGAGTCGCCCGATTGCTCGCCGACTCACTGCTGCCCTTATTTTAGTGCAGCCACGTCGTTTCGCCACCGCCATATAGTGCCGCCGCGCAGACGCTCGAGGACTGCTGCCATCTTCTCCTACATGCCCAATTAATGCCGCCGATCGAAGGGGCTGTGTTTGCTTGGCAGGTGCGAAGGAAAAGAGGTCGGGCTTAGTGGAGTTGGGCCGTATTTAGCAGCCAAAGAATTGAAGAAAAAAGTAGTGGGCCAATTTGTTTTTAAATTGGTCAGCTATTTTCTTTTTGGTGTATTTGGCTTGTTTTGGTTTGGGCTAATTAATTGGAGTGGTGGACCTGATTTTCTGACGAAAAAATACCAAGATCTGAAATTAGTTGTACCGGGTATCTCGTCAAGTCATTTGAGATGGCAGAAGACGGGAAGTTTCGAATTGAGAAGTTCGATGGTACAGATTTCAGTTGGTGGAGATCGCAAATTGAAGATTTGCTGGTTCAGAAAGATTTGGATGTGGTTTTGGGTGACAAGCCCGAAAAAATGTCGGATGCAGATTGGGCGGGTTTGGATCGGAAAACAATGTCTGTGATCCGTCGCTCATTGACTAAGAATGTTGCGTTCAACATTCTGAAGGAGAAGACAACGAAGGGAATTATGGACGCACTGTCTTACATGTACGAGAAGCCATCTGCAGCGAATAAAGTTTTTCTGATCACAGAGCTGGTGAACATAAGAATGAAAGAAGGCACTTCTGTTACCGAGCATATCAATAAGCTTAATTCGATCTTAACCAGACTTGCGTTAGTGGGAATTAAGTTCGATGATGAAGTTCAAGCTTTGCTACTACTATCGTCTTTGCCTGATAGCTGGTCCGGAACGGTTACATCGGTTACCGGTTCAGTGGGACCTGATGGATTCACCTTTGATCATATTCGATATCTCATTCTTGGCGAGGATGTCAGAAGAAAGAGTTCAGGGGAGTCATCTGGTGAATTGTTTCATGTTGATAGAGGCAGAAGGAATAGCAGAGGTAGTGGGAGCAAGAACAGACAAAGGAGTCAGTTGAAGACTCGGGATAGCTCAGGTGTAACGTGCAGTTTAGGAATCAATGCCCAAATGACAAGAAAGTGAACATTGTTGAAGGCTTTGTGAGTGACGAGGAGGTCACTCTGACTTGCTGTGAGGAAAGCAATGTGGATTCCTGGGTCATGGATTCTGGTGCTTCATTTCATGCTACCCACATCAGTGAAGCATTGCAGAATCTGGTTATTGGAGACTTTGGAAAGGTACGACTAGCGGACGACAGAGCTCTTAAGGTGACGGGCATGGGTGACATGGTGTTGAAGACCCCAGTCGGTTTCTGGACTTTGAAGGATGTCAGAGTGGTTCCAGGCTTGAAGAAAAGTTTGATTTCTGTCAGGCAGTTGGACGAACAGGGACACGAGGTGAAGTTCATAGACGGGCAGTGGAAGGTCGTGAAGGGAAATCTTGTCATGGCCCGCGGAAGGAAGAGTGGGTCGCTGTACATGGTCGGGTTACCGTCTGAGGGAGTGACCGTCCCAGTTCAGAAGTGAAACAAAGTCCGGTTCACAGAGTCTCGTGGGCAGAAGAAGTTTGTCTGTGCAAGAGAGAAACCTAGAGCCACTGGTCAGACTCAGGATGAACAAGCGTGGAAAAGTTCAAGGGGGCTAGTCAGAGGTATTAGTGGCAGTGGGAGCTCAAGAGGCGCTTTAGCCAAGTTGCCTAGAAGACAGTGGGTCAGGAGAACCAGTATTCCAGTTGTTGGAACATCTCCAGAAAATTTCTTGCTGAGTACGGAGAGTGTTTTTTCTCAGGATGTTCCAGGATCCGGTAGTGTGCATCAGCAGTGGGAGCCGGTAGGGACCGGGGACGAGTCAGGGGCAGATTTAGCCGTGACTGATGGGTTGGAGCTTAGGAGAGCTTCAACGGGCCTTTCATTTGTCTGATCAAAGGGCCGCTGCAACAGGAGAGCTGTGGAAGATTACTCGATGTACAGGCAATCGTGGTGGATGGTAGTTGATGATTATCAAGCCTCCAAGTGGGAGAATGTTGGGTTTTGTAGAGGCTAGATACGTTTGGGCCCGACTTGGATCGGCCCGTCTTATTTTTAGCCCGTTTGTCTCTTGTTTCTTGGGGAACAAATTTCGTAACCCTAGGTTTTTCTCCTATATATTAGCCCTTGTACTTGTAATTCCGGTGAGACACGACAAGTGAAATAGAAATCCTCCTGTTGAAGCCGTGGATTAGGGAAATCGAACCACGTTAAATTCTTGTGTGTCGTCCATGTTCCGTTTCTCTCGTTTCTCACAGATTATTTGTGTGTTGTGTGTTTAATTCCCAACAATTTAGGCATGTGTGGATGCAACTAATGAACGCCCTTATCGGCACACTTAATAATAATAATAATAATAATAATAATAATAATAATAGTAATAATAATAATAATAATAGTAGTAGTAATAATAATAATAATAATAATAATAACGGGACATAATAATAATAATAGTTTTTATAACGGACCAAACTCGCTACAAACAAATTTTAAACGAACTTGGAGATGAATTTAATTAGCACAGTACTATTAAAAAATTTTTGCATAAAAATTATTAACAATCATTTTATAGGTAGAAAATGTATCAACATATACTATATTTTAATAGTATTATTGATGTTAAAAAAAACTACTTAGTAATTATTATATCAGGGAATAAATCGAATAAAGATCACACTTTTTGCAATGAAATGAAGAAGTTGAAGTATGATATGTTGAGAGAACGTCATTAGGTCAATAAAAAAATTGGTTGTAAATGAGAGAACGTCAATTAAATCGCCTGTCCATACCAAACACTTGGAAGCTAAGACCCCCAAAAGAATTGCCTTCAATTGAGCATCTCATTTTATTTTGTGGTTGTAAACTTTTCAGCTCTTTATATAAATAGCCATTTCTCATTTGGTATAGTACATCAATATTTCTACTTCAATTTCTTGAAGTAATAAAAAATAAAATAAAATTATAATAAAAACACAAATAAAGGATTAAAATAGTATGAATAAAATAATGGGTTCGAAGAAGGTTCAAGTTGCATGTATTTTTGCATGCATTGCTTTTGTTGTTGCTAGAGTTGATAGTGCAGAATTTAATGTGAAAACATATGGAGTCAAAGGTGACGGTACTTCAGATGATAGCCAGGTACGTGCAGTATAAAGAAACCAAATGTTGTATTTGGTATAGAAATTGAAAGTATATATAAAATATAATAGTATAGGATAGTTACATTAAAAAGGTTACATTTATTTTTTTTGGATTAGGCAATTCTTAAAGCATGGGGAGAAGCATGCAAAGCAACAACCCCGAGCAAGCTCATAATTCCTGCCGGAAAGTACATGGTGGGTCCAATGAAATTATTGGGTCCATGCGGCAATCCTGTAACTTTTGAAGGAGATGGTGCAACTTTTATTGCACCAACTGATCTCTCACTTTTTAAAGGACAAGATGGATGGATTCTTTTCTATGGCATTGAAGGTCTCACTATCACTGGAATCACTCTCGAAGGCAAGGGTGAAATTGGTTGGAAGACTAACAATTGCAAAAAAAGTTTTAGTGGAAATTGCAAATTCCTCCCCATTGTAAGTTGTATTACCTTTATTATGAATATCATTATACTTACTCGATCAATATGTTTACAATTTTTAAATACGTGTTTATATATTATGCAGAACTTGAATTTGGGAGGATTAACAAATGCAGTAGTGAAGGGAGTAACATCTATAGATAGCAAGTTCTTCCACATGAATGTGATCCAGGGAAAGAACGTGACCTTGAGCGACATAACCATCACAGCACCAGGAGACAGTGAAAACACAGATGGCATCCATATTGGTCGTTCCACTGGAGTATCCATTCTCGGTGCAACCATAAAGACTGGGGATGATTGTGTGTCTCTTGGGGATGGAAGTAAGCAGGTTAACATTGAAAATGTGAAGTGCGGGCCGGGCCATGGCATTAGCATTGGAAGCTTGGGAAAATACAAAGACGAACAACCGGTAGAAGGAGTGACTGTGAAGCATTGCACTCTCACTGGCACAACGAACGGTGTGAGAATAAAGACATGGCCGGCATCTCCAGAGGGTTCCGCCTCCGGCATGCATTTTGAAGATGTCACGATGGAGAACGTGAGCAACCCGATATTGATCGATCAAGAATATTGCCCATGGAATCAATGCACGGCTGGGGTTCCATCTAAAGTGAAGATTAGCGATGTGAGCTTCAAGAACATAAAGGGGACTTCTGCTACAAAAGTGGTTGTCAAACTCGCTTGTAGCAAAGGAGTCCCATGCGAGAAAGTAGAGGTGGGCGATATCAATTTAGAATATCACGGAACCAATGGCATTGCCATCTCTGAATGCAGCAACGTCAAACCTACGCTCTCTGGCAAACAATCTCCTGCTGTTTGTGATGGTGCTGGTGGTGGTGCTGCTGCTCCTGCTTAAGTTTTCAAACACTATAATCTTCTAGGTTAAATATATATTATGAGTGCATACACTTATATAGGATAATGCTTAGCGTGGTCTTAAGCTTTTTAGCTCATGCATGCACAAGCATAGAGCCAACCACCAATTTGTTTATTAGTTACTCCCTCGGTCCATGTATGATCTTCCCATTACGTGTTACGAAGCTTGACCGACTTTATTTTCAATTCAATTTAATTGATTATAGGAGTAAAATTTTAAAATAAAATTTATATAGTAATAAACTACATGAAAAGTTCTACAAAACTAGAGGTGACAAGAATATATTATTTTATGAAATGACTAGTAAAATTGAGTAAACAAAGTGAGTAAAGTTTGACCCTGTGAAAAGTGACTAGGAAGATCTATGGTGGACAAAGGGAGTATTATATACCCCTTCTATGCCGTCTTTAATTTGTATGCATGGTTGCGTGGTGAAGGAATACAATAAAAAATTGTTACCATAATTATTTTATTGATATATAAATTTTGTGAACTTTATTTGTAATTTTTAACCTCTTGAATTGCAATGTAAATTAGCTTTTTCAAGACCAATTCCGAGCCCACCAAATCAAAGTTACCAAAAAAATTGTGGGTGGATACTCCCAATTTTATAATAAGAACAGCCAGGTATCCTGAGTTTTTAAAATATTAGTAGTTTTATTATTGCAACTAATTAGTAGTTTTACTACTCTAATTTAAAGAAAACACTAATGGCCCAACAAAAAATGTATGCCCCCATTGAATTATTCCATGCAATGTTTAAATCTTATATTTTTTTAAAAAATATTTTATGAGTAGATTTGTATAAAAATAAAAACTACAAGTTACATATTTAAAAACTTTCAAAAGTTCTACAAAAAATGATGTGACAAAGATAATTTTTATTTTATTATTGTACAATGATGATAGTTTAAAGTACATGAAAAAGAAAAAGTTAGAAAATATCACATAGTAGAAGTTAAGGGTGAATTTTGTTGGGGGTATTTTTCTAGAAATTATTCTCTAGGGAAAAATAATTTCCACGAAACATTATTTTCTTCCCACATTTTTCATTTTTGGTATGAATAATTTTTTCCTCAAAAAACTTTTCTATTATTTGTTAGGAAGGAACTTTCCAAAAAATAAACTTTTCATTACATTGTTGATATTTAATTAAATAAAAAACAAATGTGTAAATTTAGAGAGAATTTTAAAATATTTTAAACAACATAGTTTGAATTGTACACGCATGCAGTCGATTCCAAATCTTTATTATAGAGCTCTGTTCTCTAAGATTTGGGAGAGGGGTGGGGGAACAGGGTGAGCGAAGTTCTTTACTTTGTTCGTGAAATCAGAAGGTTCGAGTTCTTACAAGGATTATGGATTATGAAATCAAAGTTACATTCATTTGCATTAGATTATGGATTAATTATATTCAATATTAATGTCGTTGGGTAGATATCAACGAAATATTTCCAACGACATATTATTTGTCAAAAACGGACCTGTGTACAAAAAATTTTATATAAAAAATAATGCACAATGCAATATTAAATGATATGAAATTAATAATATAATATAATACTCCTAGCCTGTGACGTGTCTAGGTATTAATAGGGGTGTACGACATATTACCAATATACCCCTATTTACCAATTTAATCCTAATTACATGCATTGCAATTATTACTTCCCAAATACATCACACATGGTTGGAACCCATCCCAATCAATTTATGACCGCACGATACATTCAATCCTAAGCTTTAAATTTATTCTTATTTTTCTTTCACCGAGGTTCATTATATATATATATATATATATATAGACACACACACATCCGAACAAGCATAACCTTGTAAAGACTCAATTGTTTTTGCAAATGTAAAAAGAAAATCTAAATCCACTGGGTACATATGTACACAACTCTTCATGTTTGATTTTATATTTTGGAAAGATTATTCAAAATAATCACAACTTTATCCGGACTTTCAAAAATAATATCACATTTTACTGTGATGCCTAATAATCTCAACTTTACTGAAATTTGTGAATTTTGGGTTGCTGTTAAGTTATCAACGGCGAGTTAACGGAAATGACCTGTTTTGGGTAACAAAATAAAAGTTGAGATTACTTTTTGATGAATTTTCATTTTCATTTTTTTTTGAAATTTTAATTTTTAAAGTTACTTTCTACCTCCATCATTTCTATTTTTCTAAAGATTAGTCTAACTTTGATAAAAATAAAAAAATGATATAAAAAATAACGAAAATGAGAAAAATAACTAAAAGAAATATTTGCATTAAATAGCACTAAAACTTAAGTCATTTTCCTAAATAGTACTTAAATTGTTTTACTCCCTAAATAGCACTTAATAGTGTCCATAATATCCTGTGATGACGAATATTTACTTGAATAATGACTAATGCATAATGACTAAAAGTGCTACATTGAGAAGAAAAACACATGTAGTGCTATCTAGGGAAAGTCATTATGTTTTAGTTCTATTTAAGTAAATTCCTCTAACTAAAATCATACAAAATCAATGAAAAAAGTAATCAATAGAAATGAACCTGAAACTAGAAAGAAATTAAAATAAAAATAGGGCAATGTATCGCCCCGGCCCCCACCTTAGCAAACAAAACCATCACAAATTTCACAAACTTACCATTTCATATTTAAATTCTTATTTTAAAATTATTTCAGATTACTTTATTTTTTTAATTGAATGTATCGCCCCGGCCCCCACCTTAGCCGTAAGTGCCCGTTTATAGAATTGTAGACTGGTCCCACAAACCAACACAAGTCTTTCCCGCGCACTTTGTCCTCACTCGTGCGCGCCCAAGGAATTTCTCAGGGGGTCACCCATTCTAAAATTGCTTCAGGTAAATCACGCTTAACTTTGGAGTTTCTAGGTGATGAGCTCTCGAAAAGAAAATACACCTTGTTGGTATGAGTAGTACTAGCAATCCTTTTTGAGCTCTTCTCATTCTCATCTTGATACGGAATATTACATTGAAGTTCACAAACTGTAAGTTTGTGAAATTTGTGACAGTTTTGTTTGTGAACCAAGCATTTCCAATAAAAATATATGGAGTGGAGGTTAACATTTTATTCGTTCTTTCAAAAAATAAGTAGTACATTACTACTCTATATAGTGCGTAAAATGTTAGAGCACTCAACTTGTTATATTTTTATTTTGTTACTTTTCAATTTCAGTTTAATTTTTATTGATTTCCTTATTTATTTCATTAATTTTGTAAGGTCATTTTTATTTTTCTCATTTTTGATATTTTGATATTTATTTTTAATTTTTTATAAGATAGGAATAATCTTTAAAAAAAGGAACACGAAATTGAAGTAGAAAGTCATTTTAAACATTTGAATAAAATTTCAAAAAAATACACAAAATTTCATAAAAAACAATCCCAACATTCATTTTGTTGTCTAAAACAGGTCATTCCGTTAACCCGCCCCGCCTTTAACAGCTTAACGCCGGCCCATAATTTGCAAGTTTCAGTAAAGTTAGGATTATTATGCATCACGGTGAAAGATATAATTATTTTTGAAAGACGGGATAAAAATAGAATTATTTTAGATAATTTTTTCTTATATTTTTGAAACTCTAAAAGATTACTTACCAAGAAAAACATTATGAGTTATGCTTCCTAAAGTCCATATGTGAAATATGAACATGCTTACATTCTTCATGGGCTGACATGGAGATATTTTATTTTTTCAAAATGTCCAATTCATTCAAGGCTTCTATATATTAAGGTCCATTAAATGAGTGTTGACCTTAGGATCACGGGAGAATTTGCCAAAGATTATTAACTTCTTTTGGGTTGCTAGAAGCCTAGAAGTTCCATCCCGAAATAGTTTGTATTCTTATTATATAAATGTCCAAATCTTTTTTATGTATTATTGACACCCATGAAAGAGTAACATTTTAACAAAAAGTTTCCTCTTTAATCAGATAAGGTCATTAGGAAAATTTACGTGAATAAAACTAAAACATAGTAAATTTCCTTATATCGCACCACAAGTTTTAATTTCCATAACTAGTACTAATTAATTAATTCTTAAATATTAATTCTAGTGTACTAAAATGTCCTTTATATAACTTTATATTTATTAACCCATCACGTCCTACTGTCCTTCACCGGCCGCCGATCACAAAATGTTGATGTTTGTGTCCCGTCGCCACTCCGTGAATATTCATTATGCATGATTTAATGACTTATGTGGTTTCACACTAATAATGTTCAATATCATTTTAAATGTCTACATGTCCATTGTCCAGGCATTATCGGTTGAAAAAAAGACATCGTTGCAATTATGAATATCCACTCGATGTCCCCAATTAGTAAACAATGTCCTTAATTCAACAATGTCTTATATCCAAAATTTTTACAATATCTCAAGTGAGTGAACAATATCCATGGTTTTTACAATGTCCTTAAAAAACAGAGGAATCAAGGAGGGAATTGATCAAAGAGAGAAAATTGAGTATAAATTAAATTAATTAAGATACAAGAGTGTTTTAGTAAATAGATATTATTAATAGTTAATTTAATGTTAGTTTTGAAAAAAAATCTTATTCGGTTCCTTTTAGAGAAAAATGTTAAGTTTTGGTGTTATCTATAGCAAATTTCACATGTCTTTAATCCGGTAACTAGTATCGCACTCGTGCGTTGCACTGGTAATATTTACGTTACTAAATTAAAATCAATTTTGAATGATAGAAAATGATATCTAATACTCCCTCCGTCCCATTAAACCCTTCCTGTTTTAAAAAAGGTGCAGCTTTAAAATGAGTCATTTTAGTGTTATTTTCTAATTATGACTCATATATTCTACACATCCCATCCTATTCTATTATAAAGTAAGAGCAAAATCAGAAAATAATACCAAAATAAGGGTCTACTTTTTTTAAAAAGGAAGAACTTTATGAGACGAAGGGAATAAAATATAGACATTTTATTATTTTAAGCAAAAGTACAAAAGTTTTTTGCTTACAAATTTCGAAAGACTTCTTTATAAAATATATTATTCGTACAATTTGTAGAAACATTATCTTCGTTGCATATCAAAATCTTCAAGTCATTATGTTTTGTTACTCATGAACTACAACATACAGTTTCTTTATAATTGACCTTTAATATTATTACTATTACTATGTTTGTTATTACGATTATTATTTTTATACGGTACCATATTTTTATTATGATTAATATTTTTATACGGTACCATATTATTCATAGTTTTAAGAACCGGAC